TAATAATAATAATAATAATAATAATAATAATAATAATAATAATAATAATAATAATAATAATAATAATAATTTGGTGTAAGTGTAGCATATGAACGTAATTGGGGTTTACTACATATCTTAGATATGTATATATGATAGGAGTTTTAGGGGAATATATCTAGGATAGTAGTGATGTACCTATTTATGTATAAATGTTTGTTTAGGGAGGTCCTTATCTTAGTGGTAAAGGGTCCTAAACAAGGTATGGGAAGCTTGTGGTCTATTATGCATCATGGACCAAGGTCTAGAGGGATAGTTTTAAGATAGTTTGGGGGCGCAATATATTTTTCCACGGATAATCCCTAGATGACCACTTGTTTTAGGTTTCTATCGGTCTCACTTAGATTAAATTTCGAGCCGAAACTTAATACGCAATGTATCCGAGGGTTTAGATTTCTAGAAATAGGATTAGTCCTTATAATTTCTATGTAACATATAAACAAATCAATTAGGAAGATAATTTGATTTTCATGTTCAAGCATTAGATTGTTATTTATATGTTTAAACACATAGGAAGCATCAAGGGAGACACACAAAGGCACAATGGATCAATAAAATGAGAAGTCAAGAAAACATATCGAACCAGTGGGCGCGAGGTGGGTGGTCGACCGCCTGTCAAGTCCCCACTGGAATGTGGCAGTGGGCACGTGGTGGGTGGTTGACCTCCTGCCAAGGCCCCACTGGAACGTGACTGTGAAGGAGGAATCACTTCGGGAAAAGCCCCGAGAATGCACAATTTTAAGTTCAAGGAATTTCATACTTATGTGAACAACGAAAGGGGTTTGAATACATTGAAAAACTCAAGGGATTACATTATTAATAAGGACTATGAGAGACTTCAACTAAATATCGTAAGGATCCCACACCCCATTCTTCCCCTTCTTAATTAAAGCTATGTTCCCCAAAATTTCCCTTCATGCAACTCATGTAAGTACTTATCGGGCTATTTAGCGAGTTAACTATATTGGTAAATTATGATAAGGACAAGTGAGCCCTTATAATTAGCTGAATAAAATTACTAATTACAAGTTCCAAAATATTTTATCAAGTAACATATATCCAAATAATGCATGTTTGATCAAATAGTTAAGTAATAATATGCAGTTCCTAACACGGTCTAAAGTCAATTAGGAGCATATGTTTAAGCAAATAAACAAGTATGATAATCAAAGAGTGATAAGCAACAAAGCAGGTAAAGCATGCAAGGACATCTCAAATTTCTAGGGCCAGTATGTGGGATGAAGAGTTAGTGTGTTGTACCCTTACCTTGATGTGATAAGCGAAGGGGGAAATTCTTTAAATTAATGTGGGGTAAAGTGAGGGGAGGTTATGTGATGATAGGTAGGTTCACAATCTCACCGCGCGTCCTAAGATTCCTGGATCCTATGTCCCTAAATACCTAGAGTTCAAGCCTAATGTCCTAAAGTCTGGTCTTAAGAGTCATATCCTAGGGTCAAACTTAGGCTCTGATACCAACTGTAACACCCCGAAAATTTTCAACTTTTAAGACTTATATAATAAAGGTAGATTCTCATTAAATCCCAAAGATATAACATAAGAGTATGGGGTGCTATGCCACACCTGAGCTAGAGAACTCAGGTGCACAGGCCAACTAACTAAAATTCTCAATAATGTCAATACATAAGCATGGAACGCAGGCCGAAAGGGAAACTACCTACTCTACGCTCCAAATCTCTAGCGCGCTCCAGTGTCTACTCATCTGTGCCTGAAAGCAAAATATATCTGTTCAGCGAGAGATGCTGGTAACCCACTCCAACGCGTTGAAATATAGTATATATATATATATATATATATATATATATATATATATATATATATATATATATATATATATATATATATATATATATAGATATACAAAAATCATTTCGAAGCGGGAAGATATATACTTAAGAGACACTAGTTTTAAAAATAGACTTAGCAAATAGGGATAAGCACATCAGACAACAATAATAACATCATAAGGAATACGCATTTACGGTCACAAGCCACTTCTCAATTCCAATCCACATCATCATCCAATCATCATTCATATCACATAATCATTGATGGCGCCACGGGACCAATCGCATGCCCCGAACATGAGGGTTAATGCCTATAGCATTAACACGGCCCCGCAGCACCCTACCTCAGTACCGCGGTACGAGGGGAGTTGATCGCAACCAACCCTTTTAGAACCGCTGACGAACTCAACGTCGGACCACGATCCAACACACCGTTGACGCGCCCAGTAGGTGGACCGCGATCCCCTTTACAAGGGGGGACTTACGACCCTACACACCGTTGGTGCGCACAATCGGCGGGCCGTAGCGGATCAAGCCCGACACACCGCTGAGCTAAACCGAGTCGGTGGGCAAAGATCCTCGAAGACTACGGTCCTACATACCAATGTCCCACCACTCGGTGGGTCGCAGCCAGTCGTAGCCCTACACACCGCCTGATTACTCAGGTCGGTGGACTACAACCTTCCTCGGCTTATTGGCCCCATACCGCCTGGCGCATCCCGGTCGGTGGGTCATATCACCGAGGCCTATGTGGACCGCAGCCCAATAAGTGAATCACTGACCGCAGCCAGGAGAATGAACCGCAGCTCATATGTAATCAACAGTGGACCGCAGCCCTATATAATATTTATATACCTGACCGATCGCAACCGGCCTGGTTAACAGTTGGGATGGTTCTCAACCCATCCAACTGCCCGTATAGCCAATTTGATCGCAACCAAATTGGGGTATCATGCACACGTAACACACAACAAGTACATGCAACCCACATTAACACATTGGGAAGGGGGGGGGGGGGGAATCGTATAATGAAACCTATGCGTGATCATTCACACACTAGGGATAATCCTAAGGGGTTCATACTTCTTTCACCTAGGTCAACGGGATACCAATTCAACTAGCATGCAATATATAAGACTCGTTTATCCTACGAACGGTACCCGAAACATCAAACTACACATAGGCACGATAGACGGAGTCCGTTGGGACGCCACGGGGTTCGGGGGAACATCAAACGGGGAAGCCGGAATCCCGAGGTGGGGAAATTTCCAGCGAGTAGCCGGTGGGTGAAGGGTCATCCGCCGGCTGCCCGCCGGCGACGAGTCTCCGGGCAGCGGGTGCCCGGCGGGCAGTCGCCTGCCCGCTGCCGGCGACGCTAATTCCGGCCGCGGGTAGGTGGCGGGTCCCCTACCCCCACCCACCCCCCACTGACTCTTTTTCATCAATAACGCCCCGGGAACCTTTGTGGAACCCGAAACCATGCTTACACACTTTTAAACGCAATTGATGACAACACGTAGGCAATTAACGGATCAAAAGCGAGAAACATACGGCACATATCCTATCTTCTAAACATAATTAACACCCCAAACATACCTATTTTCCTTGCTATAATCTCCTTCTTTGGCTACTTCTATATGCTTGTGTCTTGATGAATTCCTTTATGATAATTGTGATATAATCTTGATGATTGATGGGATGATTTTATGTGTGATCTTGATGATCTTGATGTTGAAAAGAGGTTCTTGATATTTATGTGATGATTCTTGATAAATCTTTATGTTTCTTGATATTAAAGATAAAATATGATTTTAATGATTTGGATGGGATTAGAGCCCTAGGTTGGATTGGGAATTTGTATTGTGATGTTCTTGATATATATTTGGGTGGGAATTCGCATGTTCGGGTGTTGCTTATGTTTAGAAGTCATAATAGGATAAGTTCTACGTGATTCTTGCTTTTAATTGCCTACATGGTGTCGTTATTTGCGTTTAAAAGGGTCTAAGCATGGTTTCGGGTTCAACGGAGGATCCCAGGATGTTTATTTTGATAAAGAGTCAGTGGGGGTAGGTGGGGGTAGGGGAACCCGCCACCTACCCGCTGCCCAAAGAGGTACCGTCAGCAGCGGGTAGGCGACTACCCGCCAGGCAGCCGCTGCCCGGAGTGCTATCGCCGGCGGGTGGCCCTCCACCCACCGGCTACCCGCTGGATTGTTGCCCACTTCGGGTCTTTGGCTTCCCCGTTTGATGTTTCCCAATCCCCATGGTGTCCCAACGGACCCCGTTTGTCGTGCATGAGTCTATTTTGATGAGTCGGGTGTGATTCATAGGATAGAAGAGTCTTAGGAATTGCATGCTAGTTGACTCGGTAATCCGTTGACCCAGGTGAAAGATGCATGAACCCCTTAGAACTATTCTTAGTATGTGAATATTCACACATAAGTTTATTTATACGTCTCCCCCTTCCCAATGTGCTACTACGTGCTACTATGTGTTATGTGATGCATGATACCCCAATTTGGTTGCGATCAAATTGGGTGTTCCTGAGTTGCGGTTCAGAAGCTGGTTGCAGCCATTTGGCGACGGAATTATTCCGTCGCGATTCCGTCGCCAATTTTGCAACGGAGCTGTTTCCGTCGTAAATCCGTCGTTATTTCTGAACCGAATATTCCGTCGCCATATTATTTTTTCGGTCGCCAATTTCGTCGCTCATTTCGCAACGGAAATATTTTCCGTCGTAATTCCGTCGTTTCATTGGCAACAAATATTCCGTCGCAAATCTTATATTCCGTCGCAATTCCGTCGCGTTTTTGAATTATTTTAAAATAAAATTTTGATTTTAAATAGTAATGAATGTTTTTAAAATAAAAGATAACATTTTTTTTTGAAAGTTACTGGCTCTATTACATTGTAGTATCTGTTCATATACTTTCTCAACCTACTGAAACACAAAGAACCAATAACGCCTCCACTGAGGCTTGAACTCATAATCTTCCAAATGGAAGTCCAACCCGGATACCATTAGACCACATAGTCCACATAATTCTAAATTAAATTAAAATACTAATACATTACCAATCCACATTTCATACATAATATAATCGTCAATTAAACTCTAAACAACATAATAATACATTGTCAATCCACGCTTAATACATAATATAATAGTCAATTCAAGTCTAAACAACATAATAATACATTATCAATCCACACTTAATACATAATATAATAGTCAATTCAAGTCTAAACAACACTAACAAACAACCATTAAAATCAATTGATTTGAGATGGAGGTGATGATGAAGTACCCGCTCTCCCGCCATCAATAGCATCAAGTCGTTGTTGCATAAGGAGAATAGTTTCCTTCAAACTCTGAATTTCTTGTTGTACATTTGCAGAAGTAGAAGTAGCATTATCGGGTGGTCGTGATGTTGGTGTCATATTGCCAGAAGTGTTATCATTAGTTGGACCATGAACAACAGAACAACCATATGAACCAAGTCCATAAACTCTTCTTTTCTTATCGTGTCCACCAACCGCGTCATAGTATAATTGATTGTCATCCACCTGCTCCCCATTTTCTGCCAACATCTCCCGTTGCGATTCAACTTGTTCCTAAAATATGTTAGAAATTTAGTACAAAATATATGTAAAGGCATATATCTTTTAAAAACTTAAAACAAATTCAACTTACATGAATTTGTTTCGCTTTTTCAGCTATGAATGTTTGCCCATCGTGTTGTTTGGTATGTGTATGCCTGAACAGTTCATAATACGATGGACAATGACCCAATTGTCCTTCCTACAAATTATATTTAACAAACAAAAGCAATTATTAAAGTAAGAAAAAATTCGGCAGAGTTTCCTTTGTATATAAGACTATCTCCCTGTTCAATATATAATACAATTCAATTATAATCTCCAACATCAATCAATAAACACAATAAAACACAATCACAATCAACAAAAAACATAAAAGTTGGAGCAAGTAAACTCTAGTAATTCATTCTACCTAGAATCCTCATTAAAAGATTTAAGCTAGTGCTTCCTAAATTAACTCTGCAGTTTCTACTCCTAAGTTCAATCAATCCTCATTCCATATCTTATTTCCATATAATAAAAAACACATAATACTTAAAACTTAAACAATTCAAATGAACTTACAAGTTGAGCTGCAACTTTTACGTGAGGTGTTGATCCTGTGGTATGGGTAGATTGAGCAACTCCAGTTAAAACTCCTCCACGCCTATTTCTCTTAGCCAATTCTGTTTTCTTCTTGCCCTCCTCAGAATTCCAAACATCATTCCATTTTGTCCATATTTTGGGTGGGACATAGGGAGGTCTTGGCTTTTTCCTTATTCTGCTTATGTAATCAGCATATCTTCTTTTAGCCTTTATCTCCCAAGCATTATACACTACAACAGTTTTACTAGCATCCCACTCAAAAAATTTCTACAAAACACAATGTAAATACGATCTTACGTTAGACATGTAAACAAAATAACAATAATTCACTTTAGAATTAAAATACAATGCATGAGATTAAATATTACCTTGAATTCTTCCCAATAAAATTCAACTGTCTCAACACTAAGTTGTCCCCATGCATAACCATTGGGATCTATTCTTTCTTTGAACAACTTAGTAATTTTTCTAGCACATACATCTGAGCTAGTCAACCTATAAAATGGAAAAGTCAAAATTTAAAAAATTAATATATATTCAAATAATAAATTTCATTTTAATTTAACTTACATATTATCCTTAACATCAATTCGTAGGCGTCCATGCACTCCTACAGAGTCAACCATATCACCTTGTTGCCTAACTGCATCTTGTCCAACCTGACCATTATTAGTAGCCGTAGATGGCGTGGATGGTGATAAGGGTCTTGATGCTACTATGGGAATCGATGCCGACGCCGATGCCGATGCCGATGCTGATGCCGATGCCGATGCCGATGCTGATGCCGATGCCAATGTGTGATTTCCATTACGTGGTAGAACATTTATTGACAAAAGTCTAGCTGCAAAACGACCTCCACGTCCTCCACGTCCTCTTGGCATCTTTCCTACAAAATATGAAAAGTGTAATATATATTAGTGTTTCATATAATATATATTTAGTAAGCATTACTTTTGAATTACCTACATAAACTCTAATTTTCATAATCGTAGTCGTCGTCATCATCATCATCATCATCATAACAATCATTATCTTCATCTTCATTAGTTGACGAACTAGAGTCAAAGTCAAGCTCATCATTTTCCTCTTCATTGTTATCTGAATTGTCGTCAGGAATGTCGAGATATTCCACATTTTCATCACTTAACCTAACGAATGAATCATCATCCACAATACTTGCAATTTCAGTTTCTTCAACTTCTTTTTCTTGAAAAGCAGTATCTTTCGTTTGGCCATTTTCCTTTTTGAAAGATTCTATCCATCCCCGAGGTTGAACTTTACACACAACTAACCAATTAACTTTATCTCGTCTCATACTAGGGTACGGAACAAAACAAACTTGAATAGCTTGCATTGCTAAAATAAATGGCTCAAATTTGTTAAACCTTCTCCGTTGATTTATTTCAACCAAATTATATCGGTTATGAACCTTTACTCCAACATTAGGTGTTGGGTCATACCATTCACATTTGAACAAGACAGTGCATTTAATTGGCAAGGCAGTATACTCAATTTCTAATATTTCCATCAACTTGCCATAGTAATCATCACATGTGCTACTTACACAAACACCACTATTCATTGTTGATTTATTCTCACCATGTGACTCTGTGTGAAATCTATACCCGTTGACAAAATACACAGGATACGATTTCACAGTTCTCAGTGGCCTTTTGGACAAATCACATATATACTTATTCTCTATTTCATTTTGGCGTGCCTGTGCCATTGAAAAATTTACATATAAGAGTTAGGTTTTAAGTAATTTAGAACCAAGAGAAGTGGTTGACTACAAGACTTACATAATTTTCAAACCAAGAACCAAAATTTTGTTGTAGTTGTGTTGCAAGTTCTAACTCACTTATCCTGGGATCAAGTTCCTTCAACATCTCTTCATATAAACTGTAAATTTATATAACACAATTATAAACTCACGAATGATTCAACTATCATTAATTGATTGATTGATGTGGAACTTACGCAATGTAAGGCTGTACTTCCTCACAATTAAGCAATATATAAGTATGTGCTGCCAAATACTCTGCATCAGTTAGTCTTCTTGTCTTACATCTTCCATATAAGCGACCAGGATATTTAAATATGGACAAATTTTCCCCGTCCTCCTCAAGAACTCCTCCATCATCATTTCGAGGTACTTTTCGACTACGTGTATAAACGTGTGGCTCGAAATAATGAGAACAAAATATAGAGGCTTCACGCACTAAATATGCATTGCAAATTGACCCTTCCACTTTAGCCTTGTTTTTCACATCTTTTTTCAACTCATGGAGCAATCTAAATTGAAAAAAGAATAAAACTTATTCAAATATTAGATACAATTGCATCTAACATCATTAATATTTTAAATAAAAAGTAACTATAGAAGTTACCTTTCAAACCCATACATCTAACGATATTGAACAGGCCCAGCAATCCTAGCTTCATATGGCAAATGTATTGGCAAATGCTCCATTGAGTCAAAAAATCCCGGAACAAATATGCTCTCCAATTTACAGAGAATTATTGAGATTTCATCTTCTAGTCTTGTCATTTCTTCCACTTTAATGACTCTTGCAGTTAAGCTTTTAAAGAAAATGCTTAGTTCAGTTATTGCTTCCCAAACCTTTGTTGGCAACATCTCTCGAAATGCAATTGGCATTAACCTTTGCATGAAAACATGGCAATCATGACTTTTCATTCCAAATAGCCTGTACTTGCTCATATCTACACACCTTCCCATATTTGAGACATAACCATCTGGGAATTTCAGATTTTTCACCCATTCACATAACACTTGTTTCTGCTTATTGTCTAATGAATAACAAGCTTTTGGGTATTTACCTGTGGCATGGTTCTTTTCTAACTCTTTTCTGTTACAAAAGAGTTTTAAATCTTCTCTTGCTTTCGCATTGTCTTTTGTTTTACCTTGAATCACCATTACTGTATTGAAAACATTCTCAAAAACATTTTTCTCGATGTGCATGACATCAAGATTATGTCGAATGAGATTTGATTCCCAATATGGTAAATCCCAAAAAATACTTCGTTTTCTCCATCCACAACTACGACTGCATGATTTATTCATCTCTTCTGCATTAGCATCTATAACTTTTAATAGTCCAAATTCATCGATTTCTCTTAAAATTTATGTGCCATTCTTAATCGGGGGAGGATGACCTATTTCCACACGATTTTTCGTGAATCTTCTTTTGTTCAAGCGAAATGGATGATTAAGTGGAAGAAATTTCCTATGATTGTCAAACCATGACATTTTTCCACCATTAGGAAGCCGAAATGCTTGTGAATGTTCCCTACAATACGGACATGCTAGTTTTCCTGCTGTTCCCCAACCTGATAACATAGCATACGCTGGGAAATCACTAATTGTCCACATCAAAGCAGCTCTCATTTGAAAATTTTGTTGCAAAGAGACATCATAAGTTAGCACACCTTCTTCCCATAATTGTTTCAGTTCAGCAATAACAGGTTGTAGGAAAACATCGAGTTTGTTCTTAGGGTTGTTGGGTCCAGGCACTATTGCAGTCAGAAACATATATGGCTCTTTCATACACATGGATGGAGGCAAATTATATGGTGTAATGATGATAGGACAACAAGAATATTGTTGTCCTGACTGTCCAAATGGTTGAAATCCATCTGTGCATAAACCCAACCTAACATTACGGCTTTCTAATGCAAATGATGGATGTGTTGTATTAAAATGCTTCCAAGCTTCCGAATCAGAAGGATGACACATAACTCCAGAATCGTGGCCATGATCCTCATTGTGCCATCTCATAGAAGCAGCTGTTGTTTTTGAAGCATAAAGTCTCTTAAGTCTTGGAGCTAATGGCAAGTAATACATTTTCTTGTAAGAGACAAGTGATTGGTTAGATGAACGACTTGATTTTTTGTACCTTGGTTGCTGACACAATTTGCATTGGGTTAACTCTTTATCATCACCCCAATACAACATGCACCCCAACCTACAACAATCAATTTTCTCCACTGGTAGCCCAAGCCCTTGTATTAGTTTCTTTGTCTGGTAAAAACTATCAACCATGTTATTGTCTTCAGGTAAACCATCCTTAAACAATTGACAGAATGCATCAAAGCATTGCTCTGGCAGACGATATTCTGTCTTTATGTTTAGCAATCGAGCCACAGCAGATAATTGTGTCAACTTTTCACAACCAGACCATAATTGTCTATCAGCAGCATCTAACATGTCGAAGAATTTTTTATCTTCTACATTTGGCTCCTCACGCATATTCCTTGCTATGAGATTTGGACTAGCAACATCATAAACCATCTGCTGATATGATTCCAACGGTTCATTTTGCTCATTTAAACTCCAATTTGCATCAAACTCCATTGAAGTTTGATTGTGAGACATTTCTCCATGTCTATTCCACTCAAAGTAATTTGGCACAAAACCAAATTTGCACAAGTGAAATCTCACACTCTCAGCTTCTTCAAATGAGATGTGACGACATCTTTTACATGGACATCGAATTTTAGTTCCATCCATGAAATTCGGCTGACTACATGCAAACTCAATAAATGTTTCTAATCCTTCGATAAAAACTTGATTAAGATCACCACGTTGAGTTCGTCTTTGATACATCCAACTTCTATCCATATTACTCATTTATAGATGCCTACATATTTACACATATATTATCATGATTTTCAAAGTAAAGATTATGCAATAGAAAAAGCAACAAAAGAAGCAATCAAATTAGTCCTTAGAGAAATGTTAATTCGACTTGTAACATACCGATCTTAGAGAAATCTTAATTGATAGGCTAACTATTTTACCAAACAAGGCCATTATTAATTATATCTTGGGGATTTGGTATTGTTTTTAGGTACAGTGATAATATATTCAATTTATGAAGAAAACTAGCACAAAACAACAAACTTTATTATATGTTGAGTGACTTTGATTTGCACTGCATTGTCTATGGTGATCTATCCATGTGCAGCTTTCTCCTAGTCATTGCATTAATATGAATGACCAAAATAACTAAAACCATATATACAGGGATTAAAAACGAAAACTATACCTTTCATTTGAAACTCAAACATAAGGTAAACTATATAGTCCAGAAATTTCACAGAGGCAATTAATATAAAAAGCATACAAGATATGAGTCAGATGGATTTAATTGTCTTTGATGATAAATGAGTAACCAAAAATAAAATAAAATCAATTCATTAACCACATCAAAGTTAGTATCTGGTAGAATACATTTGCTCAATTGTAAACCTGAGTTTTAATTAAAATGTATTTTTTTATGCACTTCTAAGTAATATTATATTTTAAGTAGAAAGATATTACATGTTTTACAGTAAAATAATCTCACATAATATTATATTCATTCAAAATAATATATTGAAGTCACAGATATTAAAATACTAATTTTACACATATTATTAGTACAAATATGAGAGTATTCACAGAGCATTCACTTATTTATTTTTTATTTTGAACCATCAAAATGTCTGCTATGCATCAATACAGCAATATAATAGAGATTAATTCAGCATGGATGCATTGTCTGCTAGCACAAAACAATGGATGCCTTAACCTATTAACCATATTTTCTTTCTTTTCCCTGATTCACTTTCTCATCATTGATCATTCTGCATCGGACATGAACTTTCAGGGCATTATATTTTGCAATTGTCTCTCTTATTTTCTTTGTTCCTTAAAAAAGCATTAACAGTGTATCAAAACATTCAACTCATAAGAAACTAACACTACTCAGTGCACATAGATCATTCCTTCATAAGAAACAAAGAAACAAATAATACTCAATGCACATAGATCATTCCTAGGAAGATAAGCGAACAGTACTAAAGTGATTGGCATAAGGCTCAAATGGGAGAAGGAATCAACTGAGGGGATTAGAGAAAGAGTGATTTTGGAACCTTTAGAGGCTTTAATTAGGGACAGTCGGCTTCAATTCCTCAGCTCCTCCATAGCACCTTAGCTTTTTTTCTTTTTACCAGCAATCAGAAATCAACTCTCTGTGTTTGGCAAAGATTACGAGATAAATTACAAGATGAACCACACAAGACTTGGACAGCACCAGACAACACTAAATTTACTTCAAAAAAAAATATAAACTGCGTAGACGGAGTGAAATATTACGAGATGAATTACCAGACGGAGGAGGTCGACGGCGCCCTGCTGCGACGGCGACGGAGTGCGACGGCGTTCTGCGATGGTCGTTCTGCGTAGACGGAGTGAAACGGTGGTCTTGGTCTATCTGCGTTGATGAGGCAACTTAAATTAGGGTTTTTATTTTCCTTCTTAATATATTTGATTTTATTTGATGATTTTAATCTGACTTTGAAAACGACACCGCTTATATAGATAATATATAAAAGAATAATTTTTTTTAAAAACATATTGCGACGGAATTAATTCGGTCGTTAATTCCGTCGCAACATTTAGTCAAAACATCACGAATTAATTTTTTCACGACGCAAAAAATTATGTTGCCATTTCGGTCGTTAATTCGCGACGGAAATAATATCGGTCGCTATTCCGTCGCGAACTGGACGACGGAGTTTAATCCCGTCGCAAATTTGGTCGTAATAATTTACCGGCAAACTTTCCCGGGTTTTATTTTCTCTTTGCGCCAAACAGCGCGACGGAATTAATTTCCGTCGCGAATTCCGTTGTTAAATTGCAACGGAAATTATTCCGTCGCGATATCCATCGCTATATTGCGACGGAACATTGTCCGTCGCGATTTTCCGTCGCAATACGCGATTTTTCTTGTAGTGTTTGCGTTTAAAAGGGTCTAAGCATGGTTTCGGGTTCCACGGAGGATCCCAGGATGTTTATTTTGATAAAGAGTCAGTGGGGGGTAGGTGGGGGTAGGGGAACCCGCCACCTACCCGTTGCCCAAAGAGGTACCGTCAGCAGCGGGCAGGCGACTACCCGCCAGGCAGCCGCTGCCCGGAGTGCTATCGCCGGCGGGTGGCCCTCCACCCACCAGCTACCCGCTGGTTTGTTGCCCACTTCGGGTCTTTGACTTCCCCGTTTGATGTTTCCCAATCCCCATGGTGTCCTAACGGACCCCGTTTGTCGTGCATGAGTCTATTTTGATGAGTCGGGTGTGATTCATAGGATAGAAGAGTCTTAGGAATTGCATGCTAGTTGACTCGGTAATCCGTTGACCCAGGTGAAAGATGCATGAACCCCTTAGAACTACTCTTAGTATGTGAATATTCACACATAAGTTTATTTATACGTCTCCCCCTTCCCAATGTGCTACTACGTGCTACTATGTGTTATGTGATGCATGATACCCCAATTTGGTTGCGATCAAATTGGGTGTTCCTGAGCTGCGGTTCAGAAGTTGGTTGCGGTCAAATTGGTGACTTATGAGCTGAGGTTCATTCTCCTGGCTGCGGTCAGTGATTCACTACTTGGGCTGTGGTCCACATGGGCCTCGTGTGCTATGGTCCACCGACTAGACGCGCCAGGCGGTGTGTATGGCCACTAGCCCGAGGAAGGCCATAGCCCACCGAATGAGTGATCATGCGATGTGTAGGGCTACGGTCGGCTGCGATCCACCGAGTGTATGGGCCGATGGTGTGTAGGGTCGTAGTTTCCGAAGATCATCGCACACCGAATGAGTCCCTCAGGCGTTGTGTATGGCTTGATCTACTACGACCCACCGACTGAGTTTGTCAAGCGGTGTGTAGGGTCGCAGTCCCCCTTAAAGAGGATCACAGTCCACCGACTGAGCGCTTCAGCGGTGTGTAGGGCTGTGATCCGTCGTTGAGTTCGTCGACGGTCTATACGGTTGGTTGCGATCAACCCCTTCATGCTGCGGTGTTAGTACTATATGTACTAACCTTCATGTTCGGGGCATGCGATTGGTCCCGTGGCGCAACCAAAGTGTGCTTGTGTGACTTGAATGATGATCGAATGATGATGCGAATAATTTGAAAGTGAACTGTGACCTTAGATACATGTTCTTTATGATATCGTCCCTATATAACTGTTTATCATTGTTTAATGTGCTCATCCCTATCTGTCGAGTTTATTCCGGGTTTTTAAAGCTAGAGTCTCCTAAGTATATATCTTCCGACTTCAAAATGGTTTTCATATATCTACCTATATTGTATTTCAACGTGTTGGAGTGGGTTACCAGCACCATTCACTGAACAAATATATTTGTCTTTCAGGCACATATGAGTAGACCCCGGAGTGCGCTAGAGATCCGAAGCGTAGATTATTTAGTTTCTCTTTCGGCCTGCATGCCATGTTTATGTATTGACATTGCATTGAGAATATTTAGTTAGTTTAGCCAGTGCATCTAAGTTCTCCAGCTCAGATGTGGCATAGCACCCAACACTCTTATGTTTGGTTTTGAGATTTAATGAGGATTTACCTTTACTATATAAGTTTTAAAAGTTTCAAAATTTCGGGGTGTTACAGTTGGTATCAGAGCCTAAGTTTGACCCTAGGATAAGACTCTTAAGACCAGATTTTAGGACATTAGGCTTAAACTCTAGGAGTTCAGGAACATAGGATTTAGGAATCATAGGACGCGCGGTGAGAACGTGAGACCCCTAATTTAAAGAACTCCCCTTCGCTTATCACATCAAGGTAAGGATACAACACTCTAACCCGACATTACTATAAACAATGGCTCTATAGATCAGCAACATGGCACCAAACAGAAGACAATCAAGGACTCCGGAACCCGCCACACACGACCACCTGGCTCAAACCCTAAAGGAACTAACCCAAGTCACCCAAGCACTGAGCGACGTAGCTCTCCGCAACAACCAACCACCACCACCTCCACCAAACACAAACTCAGAAATAGCCTGACAAGTTTCAAATCATCGACCACCCATTTTCTCGGGAGAATAAGATCCCGCCATCCTTGAGGAATGGATTTTGACCTTCGACAAGACTCTGGGGTTGCTAGAATGCCCAGAAGAACAACGTGTAGAGGTAGCCTCATTCTACTTCGGACACGAGGCAGACCTTTGGTGGATCCACGAGGGACGCACTTACAGGCAGGAACTAGGGTTCAACTGGGAAAACCTGAAAACATGACTGCGAGAACGATTCTACCCAGCACACGTAAGAGCATCTATGCACGAAGAGATCCTCCACCTAAAACAAGGAACGACTACCGTCATGGAATACCATAAACGATTCCTCGAACTGGCACGCTTCGCGCCAAAACTAGTCCCCACGGAGGTAACCAAAATAGAAAGGTTTGTATCAGGCCTCAACTTCGAAGCCCGAAACGCACTAGCAGTAAGCGGACCCCGGACCCCCAACGAGGCTTAGTCCAGTGCCGCCAATCTCTATCGGATCCAACTACTACAGCGTGGGGTTCAGGAACAAATTCAAAAAAAAAAAAAAAAAAAAACACAGGAGGTGGAGCACCATGTAACACCCTAAAAACCATGCTATTTTAAGCCTTAAACATGCAGATATCTAAACCAAACAACAAATACAGCGGAAGACTGTAAGAAAGATATATATAAATAAACTGGAATACGGGGTGCTATGCCACGCTCACCAAAGGGGTGAAGGCACAGGCAAACATCTGCAATGTTCAAATCTAAACCAATATCTCATAGTACACGAGG